TCTATATTACTCTCAATAAAGAGAAACCGAAAGAATTAACCTTGTAAATGTGAACCAGACAAGGATGCTCTTTGTCACCACTACTATTCAATATTGAACTATTAGGCGACAAAGGGATATTAAAGACACTCAAGTTGACAAAGAAGAAGTAGAACTCTATACTATTGTTTCAAATAACATGATCTTATTCATTGAGAATTTCAAAGACTTGACAAGAAAACTGCTGGAACTAATTGGAAAATTCAGCAAAATGGCAAGATACAAGATCAACATGCAAAAATCAGTTAGCTTGTTTTATGTTAACAAAGAGAAATCTGAAAAGAAACAGGAAAATAATATCATTTACAGTAACAACCCAAAAGATGAAACACTTAGGAATAAATTTAACCAGAGGAACAAAAGACCTATGCAAAGAAAGCAACAAAGAACTACTACAAGAAAACACGTGACACATATATAAACGCAAGAACATACCATGCTTATAAAAAGGAAGACAATATTTTCCAAATGTCAGTACTACCAAAATCAATCTACAGATACAATGCAGCCCTGATCCAGATTTCAACATCATTCTTTAAAGAGATGGAAAAACTAATCAACCATTTTATATGGAAAGGAAAGTCACCACAGCTAGGCAAATCACTACTAAAAAAGAAGTAGAAAGTAGAGGCCGCTCACTCTCAACCTCAAAAACCTACCACACAGCCATGGTAATCAAAAGAATTGATACTGGTACAAAGGTAAATACATAAATCAATGAAGCTAAATTGAGAGTTCCATCCACCTACAGACAATTTTTTTAAATGGGCAGAGGACATGAACAGACACTTCCTCAGCAGACATTCAGGTGGCCAACAAACATAAGAAATGCTTGTAATCATTAAATATTCAAAAGATGTGAATCAAAACCACAATGAGGTGGTACCCGATATAATTCTGCAATAATGGTTAGCTATATCTAGATGGTTGGATAGACACACAGCTTGACCACAAGTGGGAGGAAGATTGGGGCCATATCCATGAAATATACAGGTTTGGTAGAAGATATTTTTATATATGTATTTACTTTGCTGCAAGTATATGCATGGATGTGATGGAGCATATAAGGGAACAAGTTAGGAAAACTTGTTATATATTACCCAAACCTTGAGGAAGTGAATCTCTGGGCCTGGGGGAATCAGGACCATAGTTTCAAAGGACACCTAGGTGAATTGGAATAAGATAGTTGACAAAACTTGGACCCACCATCAATCCTTATGGAAGTATCAGTCAAGAGATCAAAAGACACATCACATTTGGTAAATCTGCTGCACCAGATCTCTTTAAAGTGTTGAGAAGCAAGGATGTTACTTTGAGGACTAAGGTGTGCCTTACCCAAGCTGTGGCACTTTCAGTTGCCTCATATGCATGTGAACATTTGACACTGAATATGAAGAGCAAAGAAACATGGATGTGTTTGAATTATGGTGTTGACAAAGAATATTGAGAGGACCGTGTTCTGCCTAATGTACAAACAGATCTGTCCCAGAAGAAGTATAGCCAGAATGCTCCTTAGAGACAAGGATGGCGAGATTTGTCTCACATTCTTAGGACATGTTGTCTGGAGAGACCAGTGCCTGGTAATAGAGGGGCAGCGGGAAAGAGGAAGGCCCGCAAGAAGATCTATTGACGCAGTAGCTGCAACAAATAAGAACAATGGCCAGGATGGCGCTGGATTGGGTAGGGTTTTTCTGTTGTCATGAGTTGGAACTGACTCAGTGGCACCTAACAACAACAACAACAGCAGCAGCAGCAGCAGCAGCAAAAGGAAAGGTTAAAAAATACAAACAATGTTGAGGATGGCACAGAACCATAAAATCCCTTCTTCTGTTATATGTGAGTGCTCTGTGAGTTGGACCTGACCAATGACAATGAAAACAAGAAAGGCTATGAATCCCTGGATGGTGCAAGCTGTTAAAATGCTCACCTGCTAACCAAGAGGCTGAAGATTCAAGTTCACTTAGAGGCCCTTTAAAGTAAGGTCTTAAGATCTACTCTTTTGAAAAATCCATCATTGCAAACTCTAGGGAGCACAGTTCTACTCTGATACACTTGCGGTCATTATGGTCAAAAGTGACTCATGAGCAATTGGTTAAGGAAGCATAATTTTGAAGCTCAAAGATATGTAAGACAGCTTCTTCAGTGGTGAATGATTGTTTCATTTGAAGGTGAAATCGAGGTGAGAATGGAAGATCTGAAAAGAAAACAGTAAGATGAGAGTGTCTTGCTATGAGCAAAGCCTGTGATGGCAGGATGTTGTAGGGCAAGATCAACATGTAATCATTCCAGTGTTTTAACCAGGAGAATAACATAGGCAGATTAAGGATTAGATCTAGTCTCTGGTCTGTAGTGACTCAGCAAAAGTATAGTTCTACCACCAGATAGTATGAAGCAAATAGTTGACTCTACCTACTATACCCAAACCACTAGCATTTGATATAATGCCTAATTCCATTCTTCGAATGAACTCTCACAATACAAGATCACTGTGTGCTACATTACCTGCTAGGAAAATTGACTACAGCTGCTCAGTCTAAGTAGTGACTACAGTGATTGACTATAGTGACTAGCGTTTCCTTCATTTCGTCTTCACTCTTTTAAAATCTAAAGAAGTTATCTTTTTTTAACCTATAAGCTTCTTTCTAGAAGTTTTCTGAGAGTTCAGAATTTATGTCAACTTTTTCAAGGCACTTGCCATCCATTTAGGGAACTAAAGTGGCAATGTATTAGCTAACTGGCATGGACGCCCACTTCCTTTTCTTTGTACTTCTTTCTCCATTTGAACTGTTCGGCAAAGTGGCCGTTACTCATGGCCCAAGAGAGTAAATGCAGCTTCCAGATTGTTTAATGTGTGTCCAATAGGACTGCATTGAGATAATTTGCTTTATTATAGAACTCTTTACATTATAAGCATCTACTTAGCAGCAGTGTCCTTTACAATGTTAAATAAATAAATGTAACTAAATATAACTCAAACCCATCACAAATATGTGCTATGGCCATTTTCTCACGTGTGCAGAACTCTCTGTTTATCCAGAAAACTCAGCCTGCAGAAGCAGTGTGTACGCACGTGTGTGTGTGTGTGTGTGTGTGTGTGTGTGTGTTGGGGGGAGGGGAGCAGGGGTACAGTGCAGGGTGGAAAGAACTCACTTTCGGCCCTTTGTTACAGATTACTGCCTTTTCAAATGAGGTGCACATGCTTGGTCCATCTGTCTTCCAGGACTCGGCAGAGTAGTCAATAAAACGTTCCATTCAGAATCGGCATTGCCAAATATTAATAACTCACTTTATTTATAACTGAAAAACCGGTGGTCCTCATGAAGAACACCATTATAACCCAAACTCAAAGGGCAGCTACTGCAAGTGTGGAATTTCGAGTTCATACTCTGACTGTCAAAATGTTGGTGTGTGGCTCCTTTGCCACACCCTATCTCAGGTGTCACTGGTCCTTAAGACTTACTTCCCTATCAAGTAACCAATCTTCAGGAAGTTTTCCCCCCTGCAGCCTTTTAAAAATGGCCTTCCTGGTGGAAAGCTTTGACTTGTCTGATCTTACAAATCAAACCATAAATTGTTTTAGTGATGATAGGTGTTAAGATAATACTTAACCAAAACAATGGCTCTAATGGTCAACGCTTTAGACCTGGTACATGTAGGCGAGATAATTATGGGCAGCCTTATATTTCTATCCACAAATATCTGAGGGATCAAGACAAAATAGAACAGATGCTAGGCTATAGCTTAATGAAGTTCACATTTTTATAAAAGAAAAGTTTTTATTTTTTGTCTACCCCTGTTTTCTTCTTTTCTTTAACACTGGGGTATTTCTTTTGGGGGAATTCTCTCTTTCTTCATTGGGGTGGGACCTTTGGGTGTCTGATGTTCCCGATCCAAAAGCTGTTTATGTGAGTCAGTATACCCATTATACTGATTCTGGATTCTGACTCAGCAAGCCTCTGAAGTTGTAAATCTTTGTGAGAGCAGAGAGCCTCATCTGGTGAATTAGAACCACTGACCTTGTGGTTAGCAGCGCACTGCTTATCCCACAGTGTCATCACCAGGGACCCGGGTGGATCATGGATGAGCACCCAAAAGAATTGTGTTAAGTTCGTTCACCCACGCAGGGGAACTTTGAGAAGTCATTAATTTATTTTTGCTCCAAAAACACGTAGAAGTGCTCTGGCTCTTGATCTAGGTGAGCCTGGTAATTTAATCTTATCTTTTTAATACTTTCAATAATTATTTTTTATTGCTTAGATTAGCTGATGTGAAATCCTATTGTTTGCAATCAAAGATCACTAACTGACAAAAGCCTTACTTTTACCTCATGAAGCATGTAAAATGTTAGGGATATCAGTAGTCATTGATATTATTATAATATCATTAATATTATCTATCAAATAGTTCTATTTCCCCTACCACTTATGTGGTAGGACTAGTCTTCTTAGCCTTCTACAGAGTTAGGTGTAGCTATATGCTTTCCTTTAGATAATGAAATATGAATTGATGTGATATGTAGCATTTTGAGGTAAAAACACTAAAAAAAACCGTTAAATATTTTGCCATTGTTCTGGTGATCAGGAATGCTGATAGCCAAATGAAGTCTCTATTAATATGAATATTGGAGGGATGATTAACAGAGACTCTTTGCTGATCTACATTAGAGATATAGGTAGATATAAACTTTTATTATGTTAAGCGATTGAGAGTTTGGATTTGTTGTTGTTACTGATGTAAAACTGAGCCCAGGCTAACTACTATAAGAGTGACTTTAGGGGATATATAAAATTGTTCGGTTATTTCTGGTGGCAGGCAAGTGGTCATAAAAGACAAAATGTGTTGGATATTTTATTCTCTTACCTTTTGAAATTGTGGTAAAAATATGTATTTTTGGCGGAAGAGCAGGCAAGAAGCGGTGGTAGCGGGATGGAGGGGGGCTCGTGCTCCGCCGGCGGCCGGAGGTGACGAGACGCGAGACGGGGACGACATGGAAGTGAAGGACGCCAATTCTGCCCTGCTGAGCAACTACGAGGTGTTCCAGTTACTGACGGATCTGAAAGAGCAGCGCAAAGAAAGTGGAAAGAATAAGCACAGCTCCGGGCAGCAGAACCTGAATACCATCACCTATGAAACATTAAAGTATATATCGAAAACGCCGTGCAGACATCAGAGTCCCGAGATTGTCAGAGAATTTCTCACAGCGATGAAAAGCCACAACTTGACCAAAGCTGAAAAGCTGAAGCTGTTGAACCACAGGCCTATGACTGCTGTTGAGATTCAGCTGATAGTGGAGGAGAGCGAGGAGCGGCTCACGGAGGAGCAGATCGAGGCCCTGCTGCACACCGACACCAGCATCCTGCCTGCTGACCCGGAACCTGAGCCTGAGCCTGAGGGCACTGCTGCCTCGGCCATGGAACAGGAGGGCCCAGCCTAGCCCAGGGCACCGGCCACCGCCAAGAAGCGCCACTCCCGGGCACCGAGAGGGCTGTGATTGGGTTTCACTCACCACTCCAGCGGGCCTGATTCTTTTGATTACTGGGTGGAACACGAAAATTCACCTATCTCCAAAAGATAGGCTAAGACTGAAGACTTGTGCCTCAGGGAGAAGACAGGCTGAGGTGGTCTGGGCAAGGGGCTGGGGAGAGGAGAGAGTCTGGGATGACAGTGACCTCGCCCTTTCTGTGCTTGGAATACTTCCTGCCCGGCCGTGGTGGCCCTGCAGGAGGTCCTGACACAGCTGCTCGCAGACTCATGTTTCCATGCTGAGCCCTGGTAATTGGTTCCATGTGCTGACCGAGGTCCGTGCCGGGGCTCCAAGCTAGGCAGCTGAGAGTGGCCCCAGATTACCTCGAGACCCTGAGCGTAGATCCCCTCTCCGGGATGGTCTCACATCGGCAGGCTGCCCCATGTGCTGGCCCACCCAGGTGGACTGCACCTTGCGAGTCTTCCAGGACACACCACCCCAGCAGTGACACCCATGACCCCAAGGCCAAGCCAGCTGCCTCTCTAACGGTCCTGGTTCCTAGAGATGGGAGCCCTGGGAGGGGCCGCCCTCTGGAGCAGGTGAGCTTTGTTTATGCCCTGGGCAAACCCTCCCTGCAGAAAGACCAAGGGCACCCTGACCAGCCCTAGCCACGGCCAGTGTCGGAGAACTGGAGGCTGTCTCAGAAGCATTTTAATTTGCTTCGTGGGGCAGGGTTGGATCATGGAAGACACGGGGACGCTGACCATGTGGAGAGCTGGTGACTTCTTCCAGCTTCAGACCATCCAGTGCCCGGGCATGCAGCGGCCCCAGGTCCCCGGGAGATGGCTGCGCGTGTGCTTGCTGTGCTCGCTCTGTGCCCTGTTTGCTGGGGAAACACCCAGCGGCTCTTTCTTCAGTGGCACTGCCAGTCGGATTGCTCCCCCTTGCAACTCTGAAGCTGTTGCAGGTTAAACCCCCTCCATTATAAGCAACTGCCTTTAGGGCAGTCTCGACCTCGCCATCCACACGTGTGCAAAACAGGCCGCACCAGCCTCCCAGGAGCCTGCATCTGAGGTCTTGCTGGAGCATTGGGCCCTGGCTTGTTGATGTCCCCAGCAAGGTGTACCTGTCCCCAAGTCCTTGGATCTCATTTTAACCTAGCAGGGGCTGGGGTGGGGTTTCTGAACTGACTTGGGGCTTCCTCTAATGAATAAATTGTTTCCTGGTGACTCTCAAAAAAAAAAAATGTATTTTTTGCTATTTCAGTTTTCTCTCTTTAAAAATCAGAGTTCTTGTGCTAGAAATATAAGGGAAATGGAAAACACTGGCATTTTCCAGGCCTGAGCAATACATAAATTCTATTAAGAGGAAGCTTTGCTCCATCTGCAGCATGAAGGTCAGTTCTTCTTCGAGGAGGCGATTCTTCCTTAGTTTGCTTTTTAAGCGCCTTGTAAGTTGAGTAACTCCTCTTCTGGCACGATATTGGACAATGTTCTGCTGCTGTTCATAAGTTTCTCAGTGGCTAAATTTCCAAAAGTGAACCACCTCTTTCTTCGTCCTACTTTTTGTCTGGAAAGTCTGAAACCTGTCGCAACTAAATCTTGGTTGCATAGCTTCTAGTGCCATAGCTGCATGCAAGCCATCCCAGTAGGACAGACTGGCAGATGACTAGTTATACTCCTAAGAAGCAAATATGGTGAGATTTAGTCTCACATACTTAGGAACTGTTATCAGGAGGGACCAGTTCCTGGAGAAAACTTTCATGCTTGGTAAGTGAAAAAGAGGAAGACTTCTCAACAAGATGGATTTACACAGTGGCTGCAGTGGGCTGAAACACAGGAACATAGTTGGGATGGTGTAGGACTGGCAATGTTTCAGTTTCTTGTACACAGGATCACTATTGGTTGAAACAAACTCAACGAAAAGAGGAAGGCATCCATCTAAATTATTTTAATTTTAATGATTACATAAAATAAATAAAACTATGAACGGAGATAATTCAACATGAATATTAATAAATCTATAAACTAATATTATTTATATAACCCCATTAATTTCATGTGACAGCTTATACCATTTAGCTGAAATAAAATCTCTGCTTAGCAGTAGAGGTATTGATATATGGATTTGGTCTTCCCTGTGCCACGTGATAATTCAGGTCACTCCCATATTTTCTTTATTTGAAAAATTGCAAAATCATCATCTATAGAAGATGCAAAGATGTCATGTGGCCCGCTTTTGCTGTAAATGCATCATTTAAGTATTAAGGAAACTTCTTTTTCTTCTTTTTTATTACTATGAACTAACAACCAATAAGGTGATACAATACTTCCTGACACCAAAGTGATATAAATACAGACACATCGACTGAAGCATCGTGACAGTCCTCCGTTATAAAGGGTCACATTAAACATAGTTTTACTTCTTTTTTAAACACTATACTCAAAATAAAATAATAATGTTAGAATAATTCTTTTTTTATTATTTAGAATAATTGTTTTATGAAACTTGAGAACCTCTGAGAATAGGCTTGTAGATTACTAGGGACTACATACACCAGCTTGAGAAACATTGTACTACATATAAAACATCAAAATTTCAGCAAAGCATGGCATATCTCATGATATTGAACATCCTTATGTATAGACAAGATAACAAAATTATTAAGCCATAACATAATTAATTAATAGGTCAATCTCAAACTAGAGGAAGGTTTGTAGGGCATGGCTCAGATCTCTATCCTCAGATCTATTTTTGTTCCATAACTTCATCCAAATCACAAATAAAATCATAGATCATGCATTAATATATGTATACATATATATAAATTATACTGGGATCAAAACAAGTATGTTTCATAAAAAATGTGCAAAACAACCTCCAAACCATTTCTGCCTCGAAATGTAATTTTTATGTCATCAGATGTCTGCTCCACCCACGGTGCCTCCTGTTTGCAGTCATGTACACTGACCCTCCTTCTCATTTTTATCATGCTCTGTAACAATACAGCTGTCTTGATTCTTGGTAATATCTTTATACACATAAATGATCTAATAATTGCCTGACTTTTCAGCTTCTTTACCTTCTGTTTTCTAACGACCTCATCTTCCCCTTTAGTTCATATCTGAAACCTTGTGATGACCAATAACTGAAATCCTTGTATAATCTCAGTTTCAAGGTTCTACCTACTAGCTCTCTTTCCCCCACCTCTACCCTTCCCAACTAATTTCATCCAGTATCTCAATTCCAGCAGTCCTTTGACCCCACCAGGACCAATAAAGTATCAATTGGACTACCTATTCACTATGTTTCATTCTTCATGATTTCCCTGCCTGCCTCCACCTCATTTTCCTTTATTCCACTTGATTTCTCTATTAACCATCTTAACCCTCTTACCTATCTTCTCTTGCCCCTCTCTCACTATATTGTCCTCATTTGTCTCCAGTTCAGATTAAAGTCATTTTTATAACTATTACTTACCTGTACTTATTTAGTTAGCATAGCAAAGCATACAGTCATACTGGCTGGTCTGGTCTCACTTTATATTCATTATCTCAAAGTTTAAGTAGACCCTAAATATTGCCTAACAATCATTATACTACTGTAATAACCCACTTAGACTTAGAGGATTACTTCATTCCTTCTTCTCCTTCTCCTTAAACCTCCAACTTTCCCTTAAACTTCACTTTTAACTGATGGCTGTGCTTCCTCTTTTCCTGAGAAAGGCCCTTGACAAGACGGATAAACACAGTACCTGCAACAATGGGCTTAAACATAGGAACCATTGTCAGGATGGTGCAGGACCGGCAGTGTCTCCTTTCAGTTGCTACAAGTTAGAATTGACTCCACCACACCCAACAACAACACAACATCAATAGCTCAGACCTTTCTTCTGAACTTCTGACTTAAATGTCCAACCAACAACTAACAAACACACTAAAAATGAACAGACCTCAAATTGAGTCTTTATCGGCCCTTCCTAGGATTTTATAGCTACTTACCATAATGCACGTTATCTCAGGAGGCTTCTTAAAGTTTGTGAGAAAATGAAAGTAAGAATTCTTTGAAGACCCCTCTATGTAATTAAGATCCAAGGACACAAATGCCACTGTATAAATCAAGATGATTTGTCTGATATAGCTCTATTCATAATTGCTGCCTCTTTAGACGGGTGAACTATTCTTTCATTCTGACACAGTTTTATTAGATTACATTATGCACAGCATCATTGAGTCAAAGTGATGCTATTAGACTGTTAGAAGAAGCTTCATAGCCAGCTGCAAGGGCTCCTTAGAAAACATTACAATGTGAATAGTGCACGTGAGTGTACATGAGTAGGTGGTAGGGGACAGAAATTTAAACCAAATTAAAAATGCAAGACAGCCTGCAGCACAAGAGAAGCACATGCTCATTGCCACTAGTCTCAATTATTTTTCATTGTTTTCAAGGTCACAATGGCAGTTTTCCACAACTCCTACCCCCAAAATCCCTTCACAATTGATTAACTCTTACAGCCAGAAACACTCCTCACACTTAGGAGACAGGCTTTCTTTTCTAGCGTGAAAAATCTAAATGCCAGATTGAGAAGGCTACCAGGCTTCTATTTATTTTTACCTTATAACAAACTACCACACACTCCTTAAAGCATCTAATTTAATGTTAAGCCAGGATTTTTTAAAAGTCTAAATTATTTTTAAAATAAAATGAGGGGAATTGTTAATTATTCTCATTGAACACAAATAAAGCTTTGTTATAATGCTGTTAGAAGGGAGTCTGTCTAACTCTTCCTTCCCACTTGATAAAACATATTTCCTTTCCTATGTCTTCACCAACCCTATTGTAGGAGGGGAAATACATCTTATGCTCTCTTCGAACTGCATAGGACTTTCCCCATAATGCCTTTTGTACTAGCATTAAGTAATAGCTTGGGGAATCAGGGAAAATTATTATTTCAAGCAGTGAATATGAGAGGTTCTGAAGGAGTCTCAGTTGCCACACAATCCACTGGTAAACCAATAATGAGAAACATATACTCACATATCCAGTTGATAGACATGGGGGGATATGGTTCAATGGAAAAGGTTGAACACAAAGTGGGAGTTAGGGGCTGTTAGGTGAATAAGAAGATAACATTTTCCAAACCATTACTTAGTTCTAAAAATTTTATAATTTGTCAACCCCTTTCTTAGCACCATTCTACAGCCATGCCCTTTTCCCATGAAGCTCCACTCCTAGCTGAAAGGTTGGTCATTTGAAAGCATTCAGAGGTGACTTAGAAGAACTGTAACCCTGTTGTGTTGGGCCAGATTGTCTAGAAAACAAATCCAGCGGCATTCACAT